TTCAGCCTGCAGGATCCACCTGTCAAAAAGCCTAGAGTATAATGTTTAATAGATACTGAAGGAATTCTGTGGATCTTCGTAGTGATAATACTGTAATCCTATGCTTTTTTTAAGGAAATATATTTTTCATAATCTAAACCAATTTTACACTAGAAACGGTACCTGGTACATGTGAATTCAGTCTATTTTCAAATCTCTATTTTTATAGCAATTTTTTTTGATTACTGAAGATGGTACAAACCTGTTTTTAATGATCATCTTTTAAGTAAAAATGTTACCTTCAAACTGCAGATTTCTGTTTCCAGAAATGTTCCTAAACAGCACTTTAAATATTTCAAATGATAAGAAAACAAAAGAAATAGCTTATCTTTTCACCTTAGTCCAGTTATAGACTGTAATCAGTCTACAGACTGGAACTATAGTCTGGAACTTTAGTATAGACTGGAACTTTGGTCTCACGAATTTATTTCCTTTTGGGGTGATCCTTTGCCCAGTTAAATGCGTGCTCTAACTGGCATTGAAGTCAAAAGATCATTTCTAAGTAAATTGGCTTAGGTCTAGCACTAAGGTAGAACTGACTTCAATGATAATGTCCCAGTCCTGGTTGGGATCCATTGGCTGATGCAGTCTAAACTGTATCTGTTGGGAGACCAGATAGTTCTGCAGGCATCAGTTGTGTAATTAGTGCCAGTGGACAGCAGTTACAAACTGATCCACTGGCAGATCTTCACTTTTCATTCTCCAGTTGTCTTGCCTACATTCCAGCCACATGTTTTCGATTTAGTCAGATTCCTGGGGCAAGTATTCCCTAAGTTACAGCAACACAACCCGTCTTCAGCAGAGGAGCATTCTGCTTGTTTGAACATTGAATTTAAGGAGAATTACCTTAATTTGGTATCAGCCCAAGTAGAAAACAAATATTGGCTTCAGTGTTACCCGATAGTTGCCTTTTTCCTTCGTTACGTAATCCTTTCGAAAGCAGTCTTTTTAATGAATTTGCAAAAAACTAATCTCTGCTGGGAAGAAATTATTAAAACTAAATTCAGCCCCATAAATCAGCTTCCTACCTCATATGACTAGCAGAAATGAATACTTCCAATGTTCTCTTGATATTTTTGCCTTTACTGTTACTTTGTTTCTACTTGTTTTTATTATTCTCAATTGGCCAGTGCTATTAAAATCCTTGAGATGACAGTGTTTGTCAGTGTTTGGCTTGTTGCATGTGGTTGTGGAGGGGAAGATAGAGAAGGATGACCATGAAGGTTTCAGACTAGAAGGTATAGACATATTAGTTGAGTAATGCAGTGTTGGTTGGGATAGTAGAGAATTATCCTGCAACTGGTCAAATAATACATTCTGCATTATTCAACTCGTGTGCCTTCAAGCATGGTGTATCAATAGTTAAACAGGAGGTAAGATCAGTGTCTTGGTAATGAGTGCTATTACTGTAACTGCTTACCCACAGAAATGTAGATACAGTTTAACCTTTAGGACAGTGACTTGAAGATTGAAGAAATTTATAACAATTTGGATAAACAATACAAGATACTGTTATCTGACTGAAATAGCTGTGTCCTTGAACCAGATGCTTCCAGATTCTGCATATTAATGGATTCCACATAGGAACTTACTCTGCAGGAATCAGCTGGCACTTTGGGCAAATATGCCTGAGGCTTTTTGTCCTACTGTAAGATATTTTTCACATCAAAAGCCACTCAAAATGAGTGGGAATTATGGGGGCTTAAAATCAAACTGAAATCTTTCCATTTCCTCCTCCCTATTGTGCTGCTTTCATTAACAGCCCTGAGATGCAGCAAGGGTTGCAATGCAGCCCTTGTAAGCATTATGATCCAAGATGTAGATCACCCTGGTTTTGCAGGTGTGTCCTCTTGGCTACCTCTGGCCCTGTAGCACCTGACGGGGAGGCTGGTCACTGCTTCTTTGGGAATAAGACTGTGCTGACAAGTTGTACTCCAAAGATCTCGTCCTTGACTGTTAAGGTTAGCACAGCACTGCTTCAGGGCCTATCTTAACCAGGAGGGTGAGTGGAGGGGTCAGAAAATCAGGATGCCTTTCTGAAACTTGCACACACCTCTAATAGTAGTGCCTTTGTCATCAGTAGTGCCTGTCGTCATCAGTTTGAAGCAGATGATGAATTGTTACTCTTGTGTGAAGTATTGCTCCTTTTAGGGATGTGCAAGTGTTCCCAGAGATTCCAGTGGCTTTTCACAAGCCATCCCAAACAGATGGAAAAAGAGTGTTGTTACCCCTACTGCTAGCCTGGTTTTCTCCTGCAGAATTAGTCAAAGCCTGAATTGTGACTTTTGGGTTAAAGATATTAAAGAATGGCCAAGTTCATTCAAGTGGGATCACTACCACTTTGCTCTCTTAGCAAAGGGGGAGCAGCAGATCTGTCTCAAGAGCAGCAAGAGGCAAAACTAGTACTGGCATTTCCTTTGCTTTCTTAGAATCAACTTGGAATCAACGGGCATTGGGGGAATGACTCCAGTGGGGCATTCCTTCAGGTTACAGCAATACATACCTTGCATATATGCCAGAGAACCTTACCACAGGCCAAAAGGAAGAATTTCAGAAGCTTGTGCAGCACCATGAATCATAAGCCATGGCCAGTTATCTGGGAAATAAGAACTGGAGATGATCTGTGTTCCTATTACAAAGGCTTGAGTAGTCCATGTAAGGGTCTTTGTTTAATTGAGTCTTTGTGTATGAGTGTTACAGCATGTCGTTCACGATGAGAATTGTGTAATGTGACCAACAGACTCCTGTCCTCTGAAAATTTTTTTACCTGCAATCCCATGGTAATACTGCTTTACACTTCAAAAATGTGAATACAACAGCTGAAGAAAATCAGTATTTAATACAAGTCTAGAAGTAGTATGATACATAATGCAAAAATTGAGTCTTATCCAAGATGTACACGGACAAATTGTAAGTGCCAGGCAAGATGTAATGTTTTTGTTCTGAGTAAGTATGTTCATGTTTTTGTGAAGCTAAAACTCTTCTGGTTCCAGGAATACAACAGCCTCAAGAATATTCCAAGTGAATAGAACACACGTTTGACCAGAACTACTTTATTAGAGGAGCAGTTAAGGGTGAGATTCTGTACTGGCCAAAAAGTTTATGCTTCTCATTTGAGGTTCTTGTAATGCTATATTCTTGTTCAACAGCTAAACTTGAAATTTAATTGTTGGGCAATGCAGGAAGGCATAAGGGAGATCTGATTTAGGAATGCTGGAATCAAGCTAAAATTTTTGCTCCAAGTTGAACACCTGTAATGAGTTACCACATGTAGTAAAGAAGCATAAATGCTTGACACTTTTTTAATGGAGGTGACACCAATATTGCCACCATTTCCTGTGGTGACTTCAAGGAAAAAATTAAAACTGTTTTTAAATTGGTAAAGCCAGTGTTCAGTTCACCTAAGGACTTGAAGTTACTGCAAGGCACAACAATTCTCTGTGAAACATTTAATTACGTTTCAGACAATGTAGTAGACTGATGTGATGATGCCAGAAAGACGATTCATTCTTTTGAAGTGTCTATGTTAACTCTAAATCTTAGTCCCAAAACTCAGTTTAATGTCTTCCTTGTTTGTAAGGATGATTAGTTTCTTAAAATATTTTATAGCTGCTTTGTGAAACAAATTGACAGAATGATGTGATTGACATACAAAACGAAAATGTCACCAAACATGAAACTTTTCATGAAACCTGTGCTAAATTACAAAAAGCATGTTTGTGAGAGTTTGCTGCTTTAACATATAGTTATGGAAAAACTGAATGGGCAATAGGGGAAGTTAAAAGCCTGTAATGAGCAGGAATTTATAACTAGGAAAAGACCTTCGGGGCTTGTCCCCAAACATTGTTTAAAAAAAACAGGCAAAGACCCTCTCCAATCTATGAAGTGTGATTTTCACTAGACTCCACAGCAAAGTATGCAGCTAGAAAAGCTTGTGTAGCTTCTGACATTGGGTACCAGACAGTTGTGTAAGAGCAAGCATGAGATCATCTTCTGAACCACCCAGCAGCAACTCACAAGATAATTTTAACATGATGCAGTATTGGACTGTGTTTCAAGAAACATTTTTCTCACTGTAAAGAAGTCACTGTGCAATGTTCTCTTCTTCCAGTTTGGTAATGGCTGTATTGCTCAGAGCTTCTTTTCTCTGTATTTCTGGTGTTGATATGCTGAAAGAGCAGTAACTTGGCAGAAGCTAGTCATATTCTGTTAAATCTGCTCTGTAGGCAAGTCAAAACCGTTCTTTACAGTAGGAGCTCTAATAAAGGCTGGCAGCTGTTAAATGTGTGGGTATCCTGGAGTTGATGTTGCAACCTTCTCTGTCTGCTGCATGGAGGGAGTGCTGAATTTCCTTGGAATGGTTGATAGCCTTCCCCTGCTCTAGTAATCAAGTATACTTTAGCTGAAGCAAGGTATTTTTGGCTGAAAAAAATACCTGGGCTTTCCATGACTAACAATCAGACCTTTTAATTTCATTTTTAAAATTTATTAATAATATTGTTTATTTTAAAAAAACAACAGCCTTGCCTGCCTCTGCCCTTACAAAGTACAGCTATTCTTTTGTTTATTGTTTTTCCCCTTTGTTCCTCATGGCTCACATTTCTCTTCCCCTTACACTGGTGAATTAGTACATTCCTTCTTGGTTAAAGTTTTGTCTTCATAATGCTTTAATATTGCTGTGCTTCATTTTGTGAAGTGTCAGCTGTGCATCACTGGTCTCAGTGATATAATATTATGTTCATACAAGTTTCTCCTACATATTCTCTTGCTAGGTAGCTGTCTTCCTTCTGTCATCTTTCTAAGCTGGTGGGTGTGCAGGGTCCACTCTCTTTCTACTGACAACAGTAGTTCAGAATACTAGAGCCAGTCATAGAATTACCTGCATGATGAGAGTTTGGGACCAGATAGCAAAGTCCTAGGATGTTTCCCAAAAAAACTTCACAAAGATACAGGTGAAGTTATTCAGAGATGGTATTTAATGTCCATAGCTGAGCATTAGGGAGAGACAATCATTGGTATTATTGCTGTAAAGAGAGGCAAGTAGAGCTGTTAATGTACCATATGCCATGTTTTTATTTCTGCTTGAGCTTAATGTGATATGCAGTAGATTTCATGTTTCACCTACACTGTGGTTTGCTTCTCTGTATTCATATTTAGCAGCCAGACCAAGCCTCAAGGGGCAGGTAACCAGACCCACCAAACACAACCACTGGGGTTTTAAGTTTCCTTTAATGACAAGACAATAGCCATGCAATAGGAGCACAGTACAGAATAGCAGCAGTTCTGCATACTCAGTACTAAAGAAGCATCTGTGTAGCTCAGTGGGGTTTGTAACAGTCATGTACATAAATTAGTTCAATATATCCTCCTACACCAACTCTGATTTTCCAAATGGTTTAAATTAAATCTACACAAGGTTAATTGTCTTGCCAGAAAGGACATTTTGTTTTCTTTAGCTTGATACTTTGTATATACCAAGGCCCACACCTGGAGACATGCAAGCTCTGGAAAAGCTTTAGCTCTCAAAATGGTACAGCTCATTTTCTCTGATGCAGGTAAGAGATACCGTCTTTTTAAGGAGTATCTCTATACTTGCTCTGGGTCAAGAAAGCCCTAATCTGGTGCATTATCATGTACAGAGTCTTTGTTCAGAACTCCTATAGTTCCCAGAGCCCCTGTAAGCTTATGTTACATAATAGTAAAATACACCAAAGTATCAGTACCTTTCAAATTAGTATCAGCACCTTCACAGGTATTCACTGCAGCAATGTTGACTGTTGTAGCAGATCTATAAATCTGCCCAGTCTTTGTTCCCAGCCTATGTTTATTTCGTCCACCTCAGTTCCATCACTCTTTCAAAATCGGTTCTATCTTCTGTCTTTTTGCTGAACACTAGAAGTACTCCGTTGTTGTAGCCTTGCCAGGAGAAATGAGGTAAAATAATGTGTTTTGATGAGGAAAAATTGTTCTGGAAAGATAGTAAGTTTATTCATATAGCCACCATCTGTTCTTCTGCATTTCTGGAACTGAGTGTAATTATGCACTGAAAAAACGATTCTTATAACTGGCTGCTTTAAATAGGTTCACTCCCATTTTCAGATGGCTTTTGTCTTCCTTTTTTCTACTAAGTTCTTCAAGAAGAATTCACCTAATTAAAAGTGAAAAAATAAACACCAAAATGATTTGTAGGTATTTCAATAAAATAAGGCAAAAGAATACATTCTTATTTAACATGACTGTTCTATTCTACAACACAATTGTTTTCACCAGTTATTTTATAGGAATCAAATTCTATATAACAGCATTTCCAATACATACAGCAAGGATCTAAAAAACCCTCAAAACTAACCCAACACACAACCCCTCTACTCACAAAATCCTGATTTTCTTCCTGTCCAGTTTTATGAAATAGCTCTGTTGCTTTGTGCATTACAATAGGCAAAAAGTGAATTGATTTAATTAAAATTTAATTCCTGTTTCATAAAGCATCAGCAAGTTATAGTGAAACCTGCTATAAATTTTGTTTGAGCTGGCATTAAAGCAGACTGAGCAGCACAGTACCCCAGATGAGTCTTCTCTGCTCTTTCATTAGGAGAAAGCTGGATGTTGCAATTACACACAAGTTCCATTAATATCAGCTGCTATTTCATACCCAATGCTGTGTCAGAAAAAGCACTGCTGTAAGTGTCTCTAATTATTTTTAAAGCACTGTAAATAAATTCTGCCTAAAGCAACAAAACTGTATCACAAATGACCAAGGACCTCATTGAACCCAGAAGAGACAGAATGTGAAGGAAAACTTGAAAATTTGGTACCCATTATCCTGCCTCACACATTAAATATAGTACAGAATAGATTTGGAAGAAAAATTAGGTTAAGCAGCACTGCAGTTGTACAAATACTAATTACTGTCATACTGATGCATTTGGATGACCTATAGGAAATAGTGTAAATAATTTTTGAAATACAGATAACTATATGAGGTGTCCTTGAGATAAGGTGAGCTTTGTTGCACATTACTTCACCATTTTAGTTTTGTACAATAAAATGTTACATGCTAAATAAATAATCCAATGTCTTTCAGTAATTTACCTGCTTTATAGGAGGAACGCACTAAAGGCCCACTAGCAGTGTAATGGAATCCAAGATCATTTCCTATTTTTTCCCAGTACTTAAACTTCTCGGGAGTTATGTATTCCTCGACCTGGGGGACAAGAATTAATTTTGCTCAGGTATTAATGCAAAGGAAATTGCTATAGCTAGCATATAGTGAAATGAAATACAGTTATATTAAAAGTTCAAAATTTTTCACTTTCAAAAAAGCTTTCATCAGTAAAGTCACAAACTGCATTTTTGCTCTGCTTTCTACCAAACAAATGTATTTTATTCGCTTTACATATTTGGCTGAAAAGTTCAGAATTTAATTTCTAGTTGCTGCTTTATGATTTTCTTTATTCTGTTTTTGAATGGTCCTTTCGAGCAAACCTTATTTTCTGTCCAAGTAAAAAACCACAACAGTCCTACAAATCTCTTCACTAACAGTTAATTCAGTGAAACACAGGAACAGAACAGTGAGCAAATTTCTGGACAGATTACAGAAGCAGAAAATGGTAAATTTCCCAGCTGAAGTGGCACCATTAAGGGAGAGCCTGTAAGACAATGAAGGGGTGCTGGCTTGAGTAATTATGTTTGAGACATACACTGAAGCTCTTGTTTTCCAGAATCATGCCTCAGCTCCAGCTGTCTCTCTGGCTAACAGTACAAACTAGCACTGGGAAGTCTGCAGAAGATGGAAGGGGTTAGATAGCTGAGGTCATTTTTAGTGAAGAGCCCCTAACAGATAATCATTGTCAGGCTAAACAAGGAAGGAAATTTTTCCCAACATCGGCAGTTAGAGTAAGGATGACTGTGCAAGTTGTGGACCATAACTCTGCCTGTAAATTAAAGGCACGTTTACCTTTAGGTGACGTTTGGTTGGTTGCATATACTGTCCTAGGGTCAAACAATCTACATCTGCTTCCCGCAATACTGTGAAAAAAAATTACTTGTTAGTGGCAGAAGGATCATAAGGGAAATAATGGATTTACCTGTCAAATTGAATCTGAAAGCTATAAGACAAAATATTTCAGAAATTCCATCTTTTTTAATCAAACTTTTATTTTTCAATGGAACTTGGAAAACATTTCCTGCACCAACAAACTGATTTGCGTGTAGATGCTTACAATTGTTTTCCAACACAGTAAAATTTGTACCTGTGAATTCTGGCATTTATTTCAACACCAACTTACATTTCATTGTGGAATATATTTGTTCGTCCGTCTCGCCTAGCCCCAGCATAATGGAGGTTTTGGAAATGATGCCGGGCTGGACCTCTTTGGCGTGTTTCAGCACACGGACTGACTGCTCAAAGTTGGCTCGGGGGTCGCGGACCTTCCTTCGCACATTTCCAACACAAGGGGGAAAAACACGTGGAAAGGCACAAGAAGTCAGAGACGCCAGGACAATTTCTGCCAAGTGGCAGGGCTGAGGTTTTTGGCCGCGCAGTTGGACACTGGCGAGGGGACGGGCCCGCCTCGGGCGCCGCGGCACCGACCCACGGCCGCGCCGCGCGCGCCCCCTGCCGGCGGCGGCGGGCTCGGCGGCGCGCGCGCGGGGCAGGTCGGGAACGGGAGCGGCCCCGCCCCGGCCCACGGCCCGGCCCCGGCCCCAGCCCCCGGCCCGGCCCCGCCCCCGGCCCACGGCCCGGCCCCGCTCCGCTCCGCGCACGCCCAGAGCCATTGCTCACCTCTGCAGCGCCGGCACCGTCTCCACGTTGTGGGCATACACATCCAGCCCCGACAAGGCGACTTTCTCCACTGCTTTAAGGTCCCCTCGGAAATCAGGAGTTAGGCATTCCACCAGGATTTTTGGGTTCCTGAAAACGAGAGACAAAAGGAACAGACCTGTGGCATTTTGCATCACTGTTGCTAAAAAACTCAAGATAGCAAAAAAACCTCAAAACCCCCTTTAGTGAAGACATGACACTCAAATAAGCAAACAAAGTTAATTCAGGATAATTCTAAACCAATAGGTTTCTGCAAACACTTCATAACAAACTCCTGTTTAGTTAACCTGCAACAAAGACACATTCAAAAAATAATATATAAACAGTGCACGTGAATGTTCGAGAGTGTTGGAATTGCTTTTATATCTATTATCTGGCTTTTGCTGTATTTCAGCTCACATCAGTAAAACCGGGAATTGAACACATGATGTTTTGTTTAAGATCATAACTCCAAAATACATAGGAGCTATAATTCTGCCACTGGAATGAGAAGACTGAGTCTAGAATCTAGTCCTGGTGTCCAGGAGTCTGATTTCAGCTCAAAAAGGCAGGTAGGGAAAACTGCAGGAACCCTTCAATCCCCAAGATACACTGGATAAAGACTTAAATGAGGTTATACAAATGAATTCTGCAGGCAGAGAAGTGTGCTGTCAAATGGCATACACTGACACAGGGCAAAGGCAGCACAGCCAGGCAAAGCAAGGAAGGTACAATCAGTGTCTTGGAAATGGCCACTGAGGCAAAATGAAAAGCTATTTGATCACTGCTGAATGAGAAACCAGACTCCTTCAGTAACATGGTGATAATGTTACCTAACTGTGCTGTGTTTGAGTCCCACGCCTCAGGAATGAACATACCTCAGAAGAATGTATTCATTTCCTGGTAAACCAGATGTCTGCTCAAAGAAAGAATCCAGTGCTTAACTTTAAATAGGCCTGGATGAATTGGAAATGCATGCAAATTCAAAACAGTTTGGGGCCATTCTATGAGAAAGATGAAGAAAGGAAAAAAAAAAGGGGGCACAGAGAGGCTAGAGGCAGACTTTTGTATTTGCATGGCCTCTGGAATAGTCCACCTAAAGGAGCTTTGACCTACAGGCAGTACCACATTCTAAAGTTTTAACAGTAATACATCAATAACGTACCTTTCTTTCAGATGCAAGACTGTCTTTGCAAAGTGTTCCGCTCCACCATCAGGCATATCTAGAAGCATTTCAATTATTCAGTTAATCTTTCAGTTCAATAAATGTATTTATTTATTAGCAAAGCCAAAAAACCCATCAGATTCAAACCTTAAATGCAAAATAATAAAGCAGTCAAACCGAGTCTTATCACTTATGCCAAGGGCTTACAAAAATATCCTACCAAGCCTCTACACAAAGTCTAGCTGTGATTGTCTAGCACAGAGATCAGATTTACCTGTCTCTAGGTTCCCTGTCTCCCTGAGCACAGAATGGCTTTACCTATTTATGGTTCTGGTCTGAAAAACAGCTGTACAAGAATTGAGAAGTGTATATTAGTGCTCTTTAAGCCCCTTTGAAGCCATTGGACTTTCCATCATACTGAACAGTTTTTACAATGGCTTTCCTCACATATATGGCGTTACCACAAGGGAGCTACTGCAAGGGAGCTGCTTCCTATTTCTTTAAGAAAACACAACTTTCAGTTTTGTTACATATAGCATTCCAGGTTTAGTGTTTGGAAGGAAGTTCTGTAATGGTATTGTATATGAATGTTTGTGTTTTTGCTATCCAAGTAATAGAATATGGTGTATATGCATGCATTCTGCTAAAAATTAGTTATAAAATATTTAGTGTTGTAGTATTTATTGGTGCTTACTAACGGTGTAATTTCTGTTGTACTTCATCAGACATGGCGAAATCCTAAGAATATGTAGGAGCTGTGCAAAGTTTCAGCACTGTTGTCTCCTTTAAAACAGTGCTGCTGGGCAGCTGAGCAGATCAATGTTCGTGGGGCACGTGTGTAGTCAGGGAACACCGGAGAGAGCTCCGAGTGGCGTGAGGAGAGCCGAGGCACTCACCGTCTCTGTCCACGGACGTCAGCACCACGTAGTCCAAGCCCCACTCCGCGATCGCCTTGGCTGTGTTGTAAGGCTCCTGCGGATCCAGCGGAGGGGGGTTTTTTGCAGTCTTTACTGAACAAAATCTGCAGCCTCTGGTGCACGTGTCACCCATCAGCTGGAACATGAAAGACATCCCTACATTTACACAGTACATATTGCTCTTGCTCAACTGGGAAACAACTACATAAGTTACATCAGATAAATCCTAACAGTAAGCAAAAAAACCGAGGACAGTGCTTTACTCTAAATTTATTGTAACTAACCCCCTCCACTACAGCAGAGATCCAACAATAAAGTACAAACAGCTCAGACATTAACAAAACACTCAAGAAATGGTTAATGACTTACCATAATAGTAGCTGTCGCTGTGGCATATTCCCCACCTCCCCAGCATTCTCCAATGTTGGGACAACGTGCTTCTTCACATACCTGAAGGTGAAAGGCTGTACTGTATCTGGATTTTTCCATATTATTTTTGAAAATAATTATTATATTATTGATGGATTTTAATAGTAGCCTACAAACAAAACATAATTCCTTCTGTGATAATTGAGGTTAACAGTTCCCTGCTGTTTTTAACAAGTCAGTAGAACAGATAGGAAGATAACTGCTTCCTGATATGCATTACCATTTTTTTTTCTACTTCAAAACTGCAAAAACTGCTCAGCCACATAACTGTCTTACTAATTAGCACAGACTATCATTAATATTTTAAATTCAAGAACTGATAAAATGTTCACAAAGTATGTGATTCATTAAAGCATGAACTTAGTCTGAAAAAATGAAAAAATTCCCATCCATGCATTCCCACCGCTTTTTACTATCTGGAAAGTACAATTAATGAAATCGATGCAGTTTCTTTTCATGAAAATCAAGTATGTAACTCTGAAATTGTGTGTGTTTCCACTAAAACCAGTTGCATGTACCATCTTCTAATCTCTGGTGATGTAAGTAGTAAATCCCAGTATTTAAAATCACAGTAGGAAAAACACTAAATCTGTTGCATTTACCCTTATTTTTTAGGGGTAAAGTTCACTGTTAGCAAAAAGGATCAGCACTGGGCTTGGTTTCAGCACTGAAGAGCATGCAAGACATGATCTCTACCTGTCCTCCACAGACAAAAATGTAAAATCTGCCTTATTTCTACAGGAACACTTCACTGGTGCCAGACTTACCGTATGAAGATTTAAACTTCTCAAGGTATTCTTTAGTTTATTATAGTTCTTTCCCATGGGAATCTTTGTTTTCAGCCATGGAGGAAGATGCAGCCTGAATAACACCAAGCAAACACAATAATTAATTAACTACTGACATGGTAAGTTTCATTAATAGATTTGTTTTAATTTGTTACACATCCCAACAAGGAAAGGTCCCTTGAAAACTGATGCAACTCAGCAATTAATGCTAACATCATTCATGGCCAGACCAGACTTCTCTTCCCTGTTCATCATCACTCCAAGATTCAAGCATGGGAATTGGTGTCATGGAAATGTTTAGAACTGTTCACTGTTGCAGAGGGATTGAACAGTGCCACACTGGAGACTGCAACAATTAATGGCAGCAGATATTACACAGTTATCACAAAGTCTGACCAATCTGTAACTGAAAATATGGGGGTTATAACATTTTTTAAACTTGTCTTCCTTTTTTGCTTTCTCTACCAGTAGTACTTTTTCAACACATTCACCTACTGATGCATATTTGTAATTTAATTACACTCAAGAAAATACCACCACGTCTCCACATTTTGTTATGGATTTGAAGTTAATGACACTTATCCTTTCTTGAATAATCATTAAGTTTGCAACACAGTAGGGCAGAATGTAATAGAGATATACAGCATACATTTTGTAGTTATAACTAAATATGCAACATTGTGCTAGGAAGCAACTAAAGTTGTTGAAAATCACTATTACCTTTCTCCTTTCTCACGCTTTAAATTGCCTTTATACTCAGCCCATGTGCTCTTGTCTGACAGATCTCCAGAGACAAAGTCCTGTAAGTCTGGTCCATTTTGCAGAAACTCTTTTTTTTCCCCTGGCAAAGAACCTGATGTTCCATACTGGTTGCACAAATAGTTTCCTGACACCTAAAACAAGCAAAATTGTAATTTATTTAATAACAAACATGCTGCCATCATACACTAAATAACAATTTGCCCTTTTGCTGGTTAACACAAGGTTTGTATAAGCATTTTCCCAACGGCTTTTAAGTTAAATGTAAAATTATATTTTTATTTTAAACCACATTAAATAAGAGTTATCTATCATAACACCACACTAAGTTATACAGTGTAACATAAAGTTCCCCTGTACGCAGCACCCGTGAGGCCACACCTCAAATCCTGTGTCCATTTCTGGGGCTCTCACAATAAAGATGTTGAGGTGCTGGAGTGTGTCCAGAGAAGGGCGTTGGAGCTGGGGAAGTGTCTGGAGCACAAAGCCTGTGAGGAGCAGCTGAGGGAGCTGGGGGTGTTTATCCTGGAGGAAAGGAGGCTTGGGGCAACTGACTGGTCTCTACAATTGCCTGAAAGGAGGCTGCAGCCAGGTGGGGATGAGCTTCTTCTCCCACGTAACCAGCGACAGGATGAGAGGCGATGGGCTTAAGCTGCACCAAGGGATGTTTAGTTTGGACATCAGGAGGAATTTCTTCCCAGAAAGAGTGATTAGACAGTGAAATGGGCTACCCAGAGAGGTGGTGGCATCACCGTCCCTGGAGGTGTTTAAGGGAAGGCTGGATGTGGCTCAGTATCATGGTGTGGCTGACCGGGTGGTGTTGGGTCACAGATTGGACCCGATGATCTCAGCGGTCTTTCCAACCTAACAGATTCGTGAAAAAGCATTGTGTGGGTTACTCCAGTGTTTGGGGGCCGCAGGAAGCGGCGTTGCCATGGTTCCCGGTGGCTGCCGTGCACTGTCCCGTGGGAGCGGGGCCGGATATCGGTGTCCTGGGGAATCATGTGCCCGTGCGGGGCTGGGACGCTCCTTCCCGGGCTCTGCCCGCGGCCACCCCGCCCTGTCCCGCGCCGCCACCACCACAGACCCGCTCGGCACCGGCACCGCGGTGCACCCAACAGTGTCTCCTCCTGCCCTGCCGTACAGCGCTTCCCGCCCGCCCGGCCCGTCCTGCTGCCGGCGGCTCCAGGGCACACGGTCCGACTCACCCGGGCCCGGCCTCGCGGCACCAGCAGCCCCCGGGCGGCGACAGCCCCGCACCGGCCCCGCGGCAGCAGCAGCGACATGGCGACACCCAGCCCGATCGACGCGCTCGGCCAGCTCGGCTACTCTTGCCTAGTGGACGGCTCCGTGACGCGATGACGTCACGGAGCCAGGAGCGGCTACAAGTACGCGATGACGTCACGCGCTGTCTCTTTTGGCACTGCACGCTGCGAGGTGAGGTTGGGTGGCGGCGCCGGGATCACCGGGATAATCCGGGATCATCCGCGGTGCGCGGCCCCCCAGCGCCCCGCTCGCGCGCGGGCAGCCCCCTGCGGTGGTGCCGAGCCCCGCCGGCGCCTCCTGTCCCGCACCTCGCTCGAGAGGGCCCCGGGACGGCGCTTTCCCGGCAAGGCCCCATTGAGGCCGCCGCGCCCCGCAGCGGGGAGCGGAGCCTGGCGGTGGCAGCGCGGGGGGAGGCGTCGGGTCACGCCGGCGAGGAGCGGCTGGGGGCTCTGCGGGTACAAGGCCGAGAGAGCCTCCAGCGTTTCTCGTTGTCTCCCGCAGGATGAAGACCATCCTCAGCAACCAGACCGTGGATATCCCCGAGCAAGGTCAGTCCGCGCGGCGTTTGGGAGGGGCCGGGCGGTGCCGCTCCCGCACTCCGTAACGCGTGTTCGTCTTTGGTTCGCAGTGGGAGTTTCGCTGAAGGGCCGGACGGTCATTGTGAAGGGGCCCCGAGGAACCTTGCGGAGGGATTTCAACCACATCAACGTGGAGCTGTCCCTCCTGGGAAAGAAGCACAAGAAGGTGAGTTCTGCACAGGGCGTTTCGCTGCTCGGAGACAGAAGGGAGCTTTAAAAAAAGCATTGGCGTAAAAACTTTTTGGTGGAGTAGGAGAGTGACCGTAAACGTTCAGTTGCGGGTGTGTTGTTTGGTAGGTTTTGCTTATTCCTGTGTTCCCTGAGAGAGGTTGGTCTGATGGAGGCTTGAGGCCTTCTCGGGCACTCTGGGAGTGAATATGCTGATTTCATTTTTCTGTAGTAATAGTCATTTACAGGGAAAAGAGTTGATCATGGTATGCTATTCTACAAACTGGTTATTTTAGATGATAAAAATCAGTTTATTGAATTTCTAGAAACTGCAAATTTCTTTAGGAGAGCAGATGTTCTGTAAATAAATGCATGTATAAGAAAATAGCTTCTGTTTCACAAAGATGGAATATTTCATTAAAACAGTGGATATACACACAATGTTTCATTTAAGTTGATTATGCATAGGAGGCAGACTTTAAAACAATATGCTTAGCATTTGCTAATACATCCTTTAGCTCAAGATTCTGTATTTATCTACCTGCGCTGTTTTGAAGACTTGTTAGTGGCAAGACCTGAAAAAAATATTTGTCACATGTCTGAGGGTTAGGATTTAAAAGACAGGAGCCAGGTGGGCTTTTAGTAGTTCTGTCAAAGAAACAAAATAGTTCTGTGGTTTTGTTTGGTGGGCTTTAAGTCCTTTATCTGAAAATTTTATTCCTCATTTGTCACAAAATTATTTTGTTGCTGGTTTTGAAGCGTAGCTGAAAGCTTTGTGTTTTTTGATGCAGCTGCGTGTTGACAAGTGGTGGGGTAACAGAAAGGAGCTGGCAACAGTTCGCACAATTTGCAGCCATGTACAGAATATGATCAAGGGTGTCACTCTGGTAAGTTGTGTTTGGAACCAGGATAACTGCTGCCCTTTTTGTTACTTACAGTGAGAGCCTTTTATTTTATGGAGAAAGAGCATTTCTAAGCATCCAAGATGCAGCTTCTTTCTCCTTTTGTTTTGTCTTGCCTTTGCTGTCAGGCAAGTTCTGGATGTGGAGGAAAGCATGAATGTCTCTTGGGCTCAGTGTCCTACCTTTTTTCAGAAGCTGTTGGTACACCTTGGTTTTGGTTTCTCCTGTAAGCTTCATGCATGTGTTCTGCCTTTTGGGTGTGTTCTGCTTTCAATATCTGGTTATGTCCTGAATCCCAGGGCTTTCGCTACAAGATGAGGTCGGTGTACGCTCACTTCCCAATCAATGTAGTCATACAGGACAATGGCTCACTTGTGGAGATCCGAAACTTCTTGGGAGAGAAGTACATTCGCAGAGTGCGGATGAGGCCAGGTGAGCACTTCTGGAGGCATCTTCTGCTGGTTTTAACTCATCTTTCCAAGCTGCTTTCTTTATGCTCTGCCACTGAGAACGGGAGAGAATAAAGAACTATTGGAGCAGCATGTGCTTGTCTGAATTTATGTAATCTTTTTATGATACCATTCCCATTGCTTAGATTTATTATTAATAGTGTCTTTGTCATTTATCTTTACTAGCTAGAGCTGGCTAGTAACCAGTCTGGAGTTAGTTATTGTAATACAAGGAGTCCAGGATTTACTTTAATCACTGGGAGATCTTAACAGTGTTTATAGGTGGTAACCTGCAAGTGCTTAGTGATAAATTTGTGTTTCTGCTTTAAAACTTTATATGTGAACTAGTTTCATACCACATCATAGTTTTGGTCTTTGAGGTGTTCTAGTTTGAATTTGCTCATTATCTAGGAGCATGCACAATAAATTTCAGAAGTATAATCTTATTAGTTGTTTTAACATCTTGCATACTTGGAGTTTCAGTAAAACGTCTAACAGAAAAGCAGGCAGTTGATGGAGCTTGTTAAACTTCTGAAAGGAGGCAACAAAACCGAGTTCATATTGTCATAAACAGTTGCATAAAGACTGTAGGAAAGACTCCCCTTATCCATTTGTTTTTTTCTAATTCCACCTGGTGAGGGTATGGGTAAGGACATTTAATGTGACTGAAGATGCTTTGAGATGACTGTAGAGCAATGCATTTGACTTGTCCCCAAACACTGGTAGATAACAGTGCAGAGTTACAGGGTTTTTGGTTTACTGTGGGGTGTTAAGGGTAGGTTTGATTATTGTGTTTGATTTTTTTTAAAGTCAGCATTAACTGTTTGTAAAGGGATGGCTGAAAATCTGATATCTGTTGACTGAATAGATGAAACTGTAAAACCTTCTGTTGCTCTCCTTACAAATTCAAGTTTCCTGTTCAATTCTCAAATACCTTTGTGTTTACTCCTTGTGAATATTTGCAGCATTGCTAGTATAAACACAGTACATGACATGACATGGGGCACGTGGTTTTTAATGGCTTTTAGTTGGGGTGACTAGTTTTGTCTTAGTTAGCACAAGCCTGTGGGAAATGGCACCACCTGGCTGACAGAGCCGTGCTGGCAAAAGCACTGGCTTGTACACAGTGTTGCTGGTTGGTGCTCTAATGTTATAATGGCTAAGCAGGAGTATCACTTTAAATCTTTTAAATTTTGAAATGGTGTGACAGAGGACAACCCTGGAATGGATTTGAGGGACTCTCTAACAAAGTCATAGAAGCTAATTATTGTTTTGAATACTAGTGTTTTGTTTAGATATGTAAATTGGGACAGGACATTATTATTGTTTCTTTAATACTCTTAACACCTTCACACAGTGTGGATTATGTGTTTGCCTTTCTATAGGTGTTACCTGTGCAGTATCTCAAGCCCAGAAAGATGAGCTGATCCTTGAAGGGAATGACATTGAGTTGGTCTCCAATTCAGGTTTGTGAAAGTAGATGTGTGGAAAATTGTATGTAAACTTTTATCTGAAGATGTCAGCTTAGCAAATTCTTTAACTCAAACTCTGAGGTAAACAACAGCCGAGTTTTTTTTTTTTGCTCTAGTCACTGTAATTGCTTTTCATAATTCCTTACTCTGTTTCTAAGATTGAAGATGTTTTTACAAGTCTGCAGAACCTTCTTTGAGTAATACTTATGGCCTTTTTGGCACCAAACTTCAGCTTTTCAGTTGTACATGTGTGCAGTAATGAAGTGCCACTGCCCTGAGTTGCCAAGATGAGCTTGGTGAAATGCATCCTATTTTCATTAGACCTTACAGGATTTAAAGTTGGTAATTCCTGTCTCTAGATGACAGTCCTGTTTGTTAGTTGAAATACTGGAGTATAAAAAAAGGCTACAAGTTGACTTGGACTTTTTGGTTTTGTGCTAATGATCTCGCTTTGTCCGCAGCTGCCTTGATCCAGCAAGCCACCACAGTCAAGAACAAGGATATCAGGAAATTCTTGGATGGTATCTATGTCTCTGAGAAAGGAACAGTGCAGCAGGCAGATGAATAAAACTCATAGGTTGGTATGATTTTAATACACATTGTACATGTGCTCTGTAGAGATGGGGACTTGACAAGGTTTATCTGCTTCAACACGGCCATGGTTAAACAGGTTCCCAACAGAGATGAAATTGTGTTTGTAAAAGATGTCATAAGGTGCATCGTAGCACTTGAATGTTGTTAGGTCTTTCAACAGCAATTTTACGTCTTTTATCAACTTGGTATTTTGCTACTGTGTGGAGAAGACCTGTCTCTCCAGTGCTGTACTCTGCACTGTCAATGCAAGCTGCAGTGCTGGCTGAGAATTTAAAAGCAGCTGACCTGGCCTGACAAAGTGGTTTACAGCTATATACTGAGAAGATCTCAGACTAATGTTCCTCCTGGTTGGACACTGCCCTCACTAAAATAGTGGACAGCATCCAATTTATATACGAAGGTCTTGCAAGCAGTTAGTATGTAAATGCTGGTAAACAGGTCAGTTTAACAAGGACAACTATTTACGTTGTCTGTGGGCATTTGTTACTGAAGTTGAGTACAGGGATTTGGGGATAATTTGGGAATTTTAACTGCTAAAGAAATCTGATGCATTTCAGCTGTGTGTGATTCCATACATAGCACAAAACACTTGTGCAGAATGAGACAGTCTGACTCGAAAATAAATTCTGTTGTGTGCCTTCAGAACCTAAGCTTGAGGCACAGGATGTAGATGAAGTAAGTTTCATAAACCCTTTCTCTTTTAAATCATCCTCTAGATAGCAAACACTTGCAAGCCTCCAAAAAAAAACTTCTGGGGCTGTTCTAAGTGCCTTGAGAGATAGAACAACTTACGTTTGTTGTACAGTTGAGATGTTGTGTTTGAAGGCATCTTTAAGTAATCTTGTCTGTGTAAAATCAAGCAAATTCTTTTGAGCTATTAATGTCTGTCTTCCATTAAAATCAGATAAATTGACATCAAATAATTATAAACTTTGTTTCACATTTCAACTGCTAAAACCTTTTTAAAAGCTCTTAATGTTTTATTTACAGTTGTCTGGATCCTGATAGAAACTACCATGAGACATTATACCAGCAATGCTGCCAGCTGGTACAAAACCTAAACACCACCAAGAGGTTTAATAAAATAAACCGTATTTCATATCTTGGGTTTGTTGTTTTTTGGTTTTGGTTTTTTTTATAAAGAACTAAATGGCGATTGCTTGAACCTGATGGCTTTTGGAGAAGCAGATTGCACACTGGGTCCACACTACCAATGTGTTTTCAAACCATACTTCATTCAGACTGAATGAATATGCTCAGAGACTGGTAAGGCAATGTGTAGGCCATGCTATCATGATCTTTCTGTGACAAAGTCATGAAGTGGCATTTTTGAGTCATAGCATTAAGTAGTAGTAAAAGCATTGTTCTCACAGGAGGGAGATCAGTGTTCTTTCACATCTTTTCTCAAGTCTCAGACTTGTGACGACAGAATCTGAAGTAGGTGAAAAACAAAACTGAAATTAGTAGAACTAGATTTGTAAGACCGTTTCAACTAAGTACATAGATAGAAGCAGAAGCCTGGAAGCATGATGCTTTATTTTTATTGCTCAATCAAGAAAACAAAGGACTTGACCTCAAAGCTCGTTCAGAGTGTATTGCTGAGTTTCACAAGCAGTGATTTGTGTTATCTGGGGATACAGCTTTGTTTCTTCACTACTAACCCTGCTAGGTAGCAGCATCTAACTGGGAGGTTGTACTGTTTCTATGCAGTAGTAAAATCCACGTTGTCACTTGCTCCATTCAGTTTGGAAAAAATAAATACTGGGATAATGAAGAAACATACTTGGCAACAGGTTGGTAAAGTATCCCACACATGTTAAGAAATTCCAGAAGATTCCCAAAGATCCACTTGTATAATGACAAGTGCAGTTTATATTCATCACTACTGAGTGGATTAATAGTTACCGTTTATTCAGATGTTCTCTGCTAGTAAAAATTGTTATGGCTGCCCCATCTTGGAGATGAAAAATAGTGACTGTAATGGTTTTGTCTCCAGTTATATTTGCTTATAACCACTACACCTAATCTGTAAGGGATGTCTGTTGGTCAATAAAGGAGTTCATTTGGTTTTTTCTTTCAAGGATATCTTCAGAAGCACGTTTCAATCCTGGTGTTGTACTTAGTTGAAGGTTTGTGGGGTTTAATAACACTTTCTAATCCCTAGCAGCTGCAGTTTTCATGCTCAACAACACTCATAACATGAATACACATCACAAGACACATTAATACAAAAATGCATATCAGTTCTCAAAAGTTGCTCTTTGCAAGTAAAGCTGTTTTAAAGGTTATTCCAAGGCACAGGAGAATCAATTTTTTTAAATAGATGAAGTTGTCTTCTATGTACAGCAGGTGGATAAAAGTAATTTCACCAGAAACAAGTGCCATGGCTCTTCTTCCTGTGAATGTGATTACTTTGTTTTTTGAATGAAATGCTTGGTGTGTGTGACTGGAGTGACTCAGTGCTTTTCCACAGTTGTCTGAGTGGCATTGTCCACTGTTGAATGCAGTGAAGGATCTCACTGAAAGTGGGCTTTTGCCCCCTTTTAAAATGAGACACAGCTGCACTTGATGCTTTTTGCCTTAAAACGTTTCCTTCTTTTTCTTTTGTGAAAAAAAATTAAAGCTAAAAGCAAAATGAGGGTAGAGAAAAGGCAGCAGGCAAAGAATATTAACGGCTTCTTCTGAGAAATAAACAAGCAGAGGCTGCATTGCTTTTCGTGGCTAGGGGGGGCACAGACTGAGAAGTCAGCAGGAAAGCCATTGTTGCTTATCAGGCTATTGTAGAATTTTATTGAAGGCTTTCCTTTTGAATCTGAAGTGAAGAATCCAAATCTGGGCTTAGATTTTTCTTCAGTCAGCTTAAATGCATAGTAGCCTTTAATCTTGACTTTGTCAATGTAGTATGCTGAGAAGAAAAAGAAACCAAAACAAAGTGTTAATAGAAACTTATATTTCAAGTAAAACCTGCAGACTTTCTGGTAAGGAGTTCAGATTTCAAATTGTTATCAATTTAAAAAGTGTACTTACATGATAAAATATTTCTAATATTTCTTCTAATACTCAGTTGTCTCAATTATGTAGGAACAGTGCCTTACTGTTTTTAAAAAACCCTTATGATCTGGGAATTTTTGGACCTACCCCACGAAAACTGGATTTGAACAGGATTGGAGCTGGAAGTTAGTTTTCCTGGGAAAAGCCAGATGCTGGTCTTAACTGAAGCCAGCTGCAGTGACCAGGAGCAGTTGCCCATTGGCGCCATGAGAGCAGCCTTCCAAGAATTCCTGCCCTGCTCCAAACTCATCTGCTCATCCCTGCAGCACGCGTGGCTCTGTTACACTGCTGCACCCAAGTGCTAGGTGAAAATACCTAACAAACAGCAGGCCTTGAAGTCATGTGCAAGCAGTGAGCATAGTTGAGCATGTGACCCAGATTAAGAACGTGTAAACGGAGGGGTCATGCTCTCTGAAAATTAAAATGGGAATACTATAATGAAGTACCCTTTAAACAACCCTTTAATTTAATAACTTACTTCCTCTAATAATGTATTCTTTCGTTTGCAGTATGAAATTAGTGTGTAAAATAGCAAATGCTCATTAGTCCTGTAGTAACTGAGAAAGCTAAGCACTGGAGAGAGAACACTTTGTTCCTTAGTGTGTACAAGTAATCTGAAGCCATGCTTAGCCATGAGTAAGATTAGTCTCATTTTTTATTAACTCCTAGAGAGGAGAAACCAGGATACCTAAACTGTGTTTGATGTCAATTGCCTCAGAAAAGCTTTTGAGCCCCATGTCCTGATCAGGATCTCTCTAATGCTCACCAGCAGGGAACAGTGAGGGCAGGGGTGTATTGCACATCTCATTTTGCCTGTATGGTTCAGGTACCAAGGCCTTGCTGGTAACCTCTATCTCACTGCTTTCCTTTAATGATTGGTTGGAGGAAGAGGGAGGGGAGGAGTGAAGTCCCTGTAGCATTTCTCATCCAGTAAGCTCTTGCTGAAGATCATTGCCTTGAATGCTTTTGTCCTCTACCTCCATTAACTCTTACTAGTTTTTTCTCTAAAGTGAAGTAGTAGATTCCATATGTGCCCAGGAGAAAACACAAGAACTAGAGCTGGACTCTCCCTTCAACAGCAACTGGTGCTGCTGGTGCCCTGCTGTGTTTCTTCTGTATGTCCCTCCTGGTCTCTGTGGACTTGCTTGCACTTTCCTGTCCAATGACTTGTTCAGCAAGCAAGGAGGCTCTTGCCTTTCTTTGGAGAGCAGAAATTTTAATAGTCTCTTGGGAGTTGTTGGGCTGAAGTGCCATCTCCTAGTAACTTCTGAGTAACTGCTGTATGTGCATGCCCAAAGAGCTTCTCCCATAGTTTAAACTGGAGGCAGCTGTAGCTGCGTTTTGTGCAAGGCACTTGGTGCTGTTCCTTTGTGTCGTAGCTGCCCTGAGTGGGCCCCTCAGAGGGGCTCAGTGCTGCTGGCTCCTGCATCTGAACCACGACTGCTCTGTCCAGGGCAAGACTTAGCTGTGCCTGGGTCTGAGCCATGGAAATAGCTCTGGGGAACTTGAATCTCCCATGTACTCACCTTTCAAAACCTCTTGTACGTATTTGCCCAAGTAATAATTTCGAAGCTCATCATTGTCTAAGGATGGGTCATCTATTCCATTTGCTGTGATGTAAATGTCAATGTCACCGTAAGTGTTTTTGATCCACCTGAGAACTTTGCGCATTCCCCAAGGCACCACTGTCAAACGAGAAGGGGAGCTCAGGCAGGTGATATCCTGCAGAAATTGAATGTCACGATCAAAGTCATACTGGCTTCCATTCTGAGGTTCGTGAATCACAAATCTGGTGGTGAAATGATTCAGTGCATAAAAGTCAGCTGCACCTTTGACAAGCTGCTTTTCCTCACTTGTGAAAGATGGCAACAAAGTATGTGAGAGGCCTTTTCTGTTTTTAAATGTGATGTATTCCCTCATAATAGCTGGATAGTCCCCTGTCTTAAATATGGGATTGGCAAACCAACCTATTTCAAACTGAAGAAACCTGTTGGCAGCTCTTGAATGAGATTCAAAGAAGGGGTTGGCAGGCTCAGCCCAGTCCGAATGCAGGGACAGGGACACTTTGCCATACTGAGAGGACCTGAACTGCTCGTCGTATATTCTCCAGGCCATGGCATGTGCTAATAATAAATTGTGTGCTGCCCGATAGGTGTCATTGCTGCTCCTGTTGTAGACACTGCTTAGCTGGTTGGGCTCATTTATTGTAATCCAAAGTTTAACTAAATCACCAAGTTCCCTAAAACATAAAGCTGCGTAGTCTTGAAAAGCATAGGCAGTGGATTGGTTCAACCATCCTCCTGTCTGCAGCAAAGGACCTGGCAGGCCCAGGTAGGTGTGAGTTGGATAATACAAGGTGACCATGGATTGAACGTTGAGTTTCAGGACTTCACTAATCACACATCTGTAATACCTAAGAACTTGCCTGTTGACCACTGACAAATCTCCATTGGGTAAAATTAGTGACCAGTCAAGTGCAAATCTGTAATGGGTGACTTTCATTTTTTCCAGGAGATCCAGTTGCTTTTTAATGCTGACAAAATCTGTGCACTGTGCTGGTCGGGTTTTTAGCTTTACTCCTTCAACTTTGTGCAGAAGCCCATCTCCTGTGACATTCCAGAGATACAAGCTGGAATCGCAGAACTGTGGTGAGGAAGCTGCTGATTCTGCCTGTAAAAATAAAAATATGGTACAATGGGTTTTAATTAAATGAACATAATAGCTGCTTGTAGTCTGCATTTCTGCCTGTGTTTAGCTGTTGATTAGTGCTGGATGTCAGAAGGCCCTGCTTAGATGCTCCAGGGTGAGGAGGATAACCAGCTCACCTATATGGGCTTTATGCTAGTGGTCAACTTATCATTCTGTTCCTTTCCCTATGAAAAACATCAAAATTGCACTTTTTTCTTTCCGATTACACGTGGGCATTTGCCCTGCCACCCGCCTATGTGACACGTTTTCACACAGAGGGCTCTCCCTGATGGAGCTCTCTCTGGTCATGCACACAGCAGTTCTCAGGCAGCTCAGTGCCTCTCAGCTCTCAGTGTTGAGAACAAGCACCAGGGGCTGTACGAGGTGGGCAGAGATTATTTTGGCACTGCTGCTGTGATCAACCGTGTGAAACTGAGGCACAGTAATCTGACACAAACAGCTTGCAGCATTTAGTTGTATCTTTCCTATCTCCTATTAGTTGAAAAGGTTCTGAATAGCATGTATTGTTTTATATTCCAATTTTAAAATGCGTTTTGTAGGTTTCAAAGTACAATATAGTGGAGTTTAAAATATTTAGATTGCTTTTTTTTTTAAAGAAAATATACTTTTTTGTGCTGCTTATTAACAAGATAGAAGCTTAAGTTTTTTACCCCTACAGTTGTTAGTGAATAGGTTAAATTAGGGGATTTTGTTGTTGTTTTTTGAGGCTGATATTTGTCATGGGACTGTCTGTGTGTGATGACAAGAAGGGTATCCCAACACTGGCCATACATACAGTTAGCTTATTTACTAAGTTTAAAGCAGAAACAGAAGAAAAATAAAGTATAAATACGTCTTGTAAGAAGTAGTTTGGACAAAAGGTTATATGATCTGTTTTCTAGTGTGAGCTTAGATAGTAAAACCTCAAGCTTGGTTATCTTCATCTGTGCTCTGTGTCTTTTTAAAGAATGGCTTCTTACCCACTTGTCTAAGTGGCACTCAGAGCCAGGCCTAACCCAGGAATGTGTTTCTGCTGTAGACAAGACCTGGAGCCTGCAGGTCACTCTGCTGCTACCAGTTTAATCACCTTGTCCCTGGCCTTTGTCACTCTCTCCATCAGGCCATCACAAGCATCCCTATGGCCACACTGCAAACTGGATTTGGAAACTCCTGGTTGAAAAATAACCCAGTAACAATTGGTTGGATCAACTTCTTGCTCTGAAATTTCCTCATCTGATCTGCCACATGGAGACATGAGCAGAGGGAGGGCCTGGAAAAGCTCCTGCAGCAGGGTCTGTTGGCAGTGTGCATTGAAATCCTTGAATGCAAGGTGCTGTATATGGTCATTTGTTCACAAAGCTGAAGTTGCTGATCACTCTGTTTCCAGTGATCCTTTTAATATTTTATGCTTACCTTAAGAACAGACTCGGTGATACCCCAGGAGAAGTCACAGGAGAACTGAGCTTGCAAGTTTGGGGTAGCATCCTTTGGGAAGAAGCCATTTTCTCGTATGATTTGTTTATAATAAAGAGCAGATGACTTGGGGATCCTTTCCTTTTTTTTACTTTTGAAATCTACATAAAATAATCCACGCCTGATGTTGTAAGCATGTTGCCATTCGAAGCCATCAAGGAGGGACCAGGCTGTATAACCAAACACATCTATGTTGTCGTATTTAATAGCTGCATAAGAAAAGGTAACATCCATGAGTCTTGTATTTAGTATTCTAACATATATAAGGGATATTTATGAGAAAGGGCTATTTACTTTGAAAATCTTGAGTGTCTTCTCAACATTTGTAGGGTTGTTGACCTGCTGTAATTCATTGCAAAACTGACATACATATCTTAAGTCTTTATTTACTAAAAAAGAGGTGTCACTAATTCCTTAAGAAATTAAATTACTGTAGGATGCTTTATTTCTGCTCTGAGCAAACAAGAAATATTATACCACATCCAGGTTTGAAGTTGCATTTTACAATTTACCAGTAAAATAGTACCAGTAAAATTAGAAAATCATGAGTTAAAATAAAGGGAGCAACAGTTGATCTGGTTTGTAACTTGTCATGAAGCTAAAACTCTCTTTCTTTATTTGAAAGATGTCTGCAAGCTCAAACATTTGTGAATGTTTACTCAGCTTGTAAATTGAAAAATTAATTTTGTTGGCATGAGACTGTTAATGACTTTAGAGAAGTTGGGTTAGCCATCCTAGAGAGTGTTTTAGTTACATAATAGGTGCAGTGTATGCTGATTTCTTCAGGCAATCTTAATGTCCCTCTTATGAAGGAGTCTAGATACAATCTTTTACATATAATATATGAGAAAGATGACAACACAACTGCTTTCTCAGATGTGGAACCTGATTCTTCAGGAAGGGCAGCAGAGCCTGCAAAGCAGCTTCTCAGCAAACACCAACTGATGTTTTTTACCCATGCAGGCTCGTGCCAGCTGGCAGCCTGGAAGAAAAAGTCCAAACTCCATGGTCAGTCATGTTCAGTGCCTGTTGCCAACTTTAAGCTGGAAATAACACAAGATAACTCCTCACATTAACCTTATAAGGGCTGGAATACCCAAGGTAAAGCAGTGACTGAGTAGGGTTGCTGAGGATTTTGACACAGACAGGTGGATAAGCCATATTTTACCTGCAGTCCACCACAGCAGTAAGCCAAGGAATAAAGATGAAGTTTTCTGGTTTAATCTTTCCCAGTATTGTTTAGCCACATTTTCTCAGGACATTTCATTTTGTATCATTTTGTATTTCCACTGAACTTTCTTGCCCTATTTACACCAGGCTGCAACTTGAGCAGAATGCAGTTTTGCACAGTGCATGTATTGATGCAGCAGAGTTCCAAGGTACCCAGCAGCATGGGCATAGTCCATGGATGTTTCCCTAGCTGCCAGATGAAATCAGAGAGCCCAAGATCTTGAAAATGTGAGTATATGAGAAGCTGATAGATAAGGCCAGAATACTGGAAAGGAGGTGAGGAAATGTAACAAAGCAATACAATGGCATGTATTTTCAAATAAAGCAACTTTTAAATTAGGGAAACCATGGGATAAAGTACAAAAATGTCTGAAAATACTCACTGCAAAATGCAGAGGCAGAGAATGATGTAGAGGATAAAGAGATAAGCTAGAATGGCCTTGCAAGTAAAGATGAGTACTTGATGTCTGCAATGAGGAAGGTTGAACAAATGGAAGCAGACATCTAGGGACAGAGTAAGTGACAACTGAGAACATTTATGTTTGTAGAAGCACATTGAAGGTTGGGGTAAGTTTAATTGTCAGAGCAAAAGATGCCGTGGTATTTGAGATGGTGCATGCTGAGATTTTGTGGCTCTTTAAATGGGTAGGGGGAAAAGTACTATTTTATATACACTTTATGGTAAACAAAATTAAAACTTGGGTGATAGGTAGAGATCTGGCGGATCAGAGTGAGAGGATATTTATAGCATTGTCTGTAGGGACAGTGAAAGGAGAGGGCAGAAACAGGTCAGGATCTTAATTGAGTGTTAGACTGAGGATGAGAAAAGCCTCCTGAAAAACAAGGGAAAGGTTCAGGGCAGAAACAAGGGGCTGAAAGTAGGAAGGGTCAGGACTTAACTAAGCTCCCTGTGTCACCAGAGGTGACATTCACAGAAGAAGATCTCAAGGTTTTTCTGTCCCTACTATAGGTGGAGTCTTGGAGTCCTGAAGGAGTAATAGTTTCAGTATGGAAACCCTAACCCTAACCAGCCCTGACCCAATGCAGATGTTGGACTTTAGCTTTCTGGGGCAGGATTTTTTCTGTTTGTACAACACCTAGCACCAGGAGATCCTGATCCATGACTATACTCATGCAGTATAAATAATTAATGATTAACTTTGCTGCCACTATCTCTTAAAAAGAAGATTAAATTATTACAGAGCTAAATATCAAATGATCACAAGTGCTGTCTGAAAGATCCAACAAGTAATTTCTGTACAAACCTTGTAAAACCTTATTAATGAAGTTTTTCATCATGTAGATGGCTGTGGTGTCATCTGTTTTCACATGGCTGTCAGTGAACCAGCCATTCTCTGCAATCAAGATTCGAGGACTGTTGTATTCCAGTTTAATCCAGTTCAGTACTTCCCTCAAATTGAGTGACAAATTTTGTCCCATTTTTGGTAGAGTGTTTGGAGGTTTAAAGTTACTAGGACCAAAGGAAAACGCAAAGAAGTCAGCTGTTCCTTTTATGTATTTTTTTTCATCTTCGGTAAAGTGTGGCAAAAACAAGAATTCATTTTTTAGTTCTTCTGGATAATCCCCATCCCCGTGGATAGGTTTAGCAAACCATCCGAGTACTCTCTCCATAGACTTCTGACATTTGGAAATGTCTGACTCATCTTCCAATCTGTTAGGTTCAATCCAGTGGGATCCCAATACTATGGATATCATCCCCTTCTGAAAGGGTTCAAAGTGTTCTTTGTAGGTATGCCAAACCTTTGCATGAGCCTGATGAGAAAAAAATAGTATTAAATTGTAACTCTAATAAATCTCTTGGTGCTTTGGCAGCTAGAGAGGCAGGTAGCTCCATCTGAGTCACTGCAGGCTTATATGGAAGTATCAGTTAAGGCACAGGAATTACCCTGCACAGTTGAATGGGCAATCTCTGTTACCCTGCAAGGTTCCTTGGGATGAAGGCAATGCTCAATAACTCGTGTGCTGTTCCTATGACATGTTAGGGCTGTGGCTTTTTGCCTTTTAACATATGTCTAAATTTTAGGAGAGATCTCAGCAGGGATGAGAATAGCTCTAGGGATTTGAACCCTGTGATCTAGCCAGTTCTGAGTCTTTCTTTGTCAAACGGTGATTCCTGATATGGTTAAAATTTCAACGCATCTTTACAATTATTCCATCAGTTATGCATCTTATATGATATTTCATTTGTCAGTGGTGACTGTGCTACTAACTGCTCTGTGCTCTAGGGGTTACCTGGACTTATTCTGACCAAACCACATCAACCTCATTCCTCTTCTTGGGATTTAGTTGTTTTATTTTCGCCTAGTCATAAGAGCAAGTGTTCAAGTTTTGATACTTGCACAATCCCTAAATGTAAAAACTTGGGCAAAGGACCCAGCTGTGAAGTTTGAAGCCAAATGTCAACTTAGACAGTTCTGAGTGAGAATTTTGTTCAGGATTTTAGTTAATTTCTTCTTTGAAATGGCCAATGCACTGTATCACATCTTAGTACTTTTCTGATTATCGTAATGTTTTAGAAATCATAGCATTATCACACATCACAATTAGCTTCAAATGTCATATTATTAATTACTTAAATAAGGGCACGCAGCAGACAAAGCTTACACAAAACCAGAAATACATGGGAGACTGAGGAACCACTAGCATTGTCAAAGTCCTATAAGGAAACAGGACAGGTAGGTCAGAGAAGAGTGACTCTGGACTGCAGTGTGAATCACATCAGGTGATCTGACACGGGAGGGAAGCTGACCTCTCCCAGCTGAAGAGTTGTCAAGTAACTCAGAGTTTACCTTATGCCTGTAGTGTGGCTTTATACTCTTAAGCTGGAAAGAAAATAATAGTTTGCACCCAGAAAAAAACATTAGGAGCATTGTGAAACACTGAGTGCTGAGTTAGATTGCCATCATTACTAATCCAAACAGCATTGCTTACCTTTGACAATAATTTCAGTTAATTTATCTAGAAACACACAGCCTTGACAGTTTAAAAGATCTCCAAAAGGCCTGATGTCAGGTAGGTATTTGTTTAAGCTGGGGAGTACCAAAGAATTACAGTTTGTGAAATTTTGTGTATCAGTTGTTTATGGTTTCTAAGGTCATGCTTGTAACATTTGTTCAAGGTCTGTCTTTGAAAATACTGATAAAGCGACACTAACCTTTGAAATGCAGGTTTTGTAGCTGGAGAGGGAAGCCAGCAAAAATGGATTCATGAGGCAAATTGCAAGATAGATTTAAAGTATTATAAAATGGATTTCTTAGCAGCCTCATCAGAAAATTTAAGTGGCCGGTGCCATCTCCTCAGTTGCTCTCCCTGTCCTCTTCTGAACGTCCCTCCAACCTGGGGTGGCTGCTGGGGCCAGGCTTACCTTGTGCTCTGCCTCTAGTGTTTTCTCACCTTGTTTGTACACTTTTTCTCCAGACACAGCCCATGAACACCACTGTTGAACGAGAGGAATTTGGCTGCATTGGCTTAATAAGAAACCCCCCACTGCACTCAGCTGCATAATGCACAGGGCCAAGAACCAGGACAATAGCATCAGGAAAATCATAGCAATCACACTTTTCCAGGTGAGGTGGAGAAAGATGGCTTTACCAAAAAACCAGCTAATTAGAATACAATATTAACATGTAAAAGCCAGTCAGGGATAACTCATATTCACCCACATCTTCAGGAGGTGATTAGAAGAATATTAAGTTCCTATTAAAAACAATGTGTACAGTAGAGAGTACAGCCACAGGTATAATTCTAGAGGACTAGACCTCAAGTATAAATAAGTACATTTAATATGAGTCAAGATAGAATCCTCATATACAAATTTATATGTATCACTGATGACTTAATTCTGAGGATTAACTCTTACTGTAAAAAGCTTGTCACTGTCTATAGTAAGGGTTTTACAGACATAATAGACAGTATAATTTGCTTGCCTATAATTCTGTTTTGAGTTGTTAATTATCTGTAGAAAAACTTAATATTCTCAGATAGAAGGTGTTTGCTAAGTGCAAACTATTACTGATGGAATTATATATGATTTATATAATTTGGTTTTTAAGATACTAAACATATGTGAATTTAAAAGCTGTATCATACATCAAATTGGGTATTTTCAGTAAGTCTTGGCTAATCTTTTTTCAGTTAGAGTTTAATCCCTAATCTTTCACTTTCCTTGTTAGAGCAAGGACAAATGTCAAGGCTAAATACACAGTTAAAGTAGGATCAATATTGGGTATTTATTCTAGATACGTATGACTCATTAATTTCAGCATATTTTCCTGGTATTAATGTAGAAAATATTCCTTACTCTTAAAAGTCACAGAGAGTGCTATGTCAGTTAGTACCAAGCCCGTGAAAAGGCTAGACTAGTCAACTTAATAAACTGAAGACAACAGTATTGTTCTTCTCTCTTTTGAAATACTCTCATACTCCTTCAAATTCTGACCCTGTAATTGAACATATGTGTATGCAAATAGCTTTCAACAGAAAGGGCAATACTTAAAAATTCTTAAGATACTTGAGTCAAGCAATCTGAACAGGAATAAGAATACAAAACAATGTCAGGGGTATATGGAGTTATTTTAGTGTACTGGAAATCAAGAGCATTTAGGAAAACTAGAATTGAAAAAATGCTACTAAAATCATTTGGGCTTTTTGTTTACTTGTTTGGTGTTTAAACCATGAAGAACTAGAATATAGAGTCCGATGATGATGATGTTACACTTCAGAAGAAGGGCAGGGGTGAGTGGCTTATTTGGAGAGTGTATTTCTGCTCTGTTTTTGGTCTGTGGTAAAGATGCCCCATCGTCAGTAGAACTAAACCCTTTCTTTTCCAAACTGAATCTCAGTCCTTGTGAGGGATTGCCTACATCTCGAGATGCAGGTGACTCCACTTCTTGAGGGGGTGTTACGAAGGACCGAGGCTTTGCTATCAAATTTGTTGTATGTTAACTGTCCTGCATTTGGATTGTGTTTTCCCTGATGATTACCAAGAAATCTAAGAAAGCTAACCTGAAAATAACAAATCCTCAAAAAACGATGAATCAGTGCTGAATTTTACATCATCACTGATAGCTACTACTATTTGAAAAATCTTTCAGCAAAAACATTTACAAGAATAGACGATTCTGGAGTCCACTCTGGAGCCATACTTGAGGGTGACAGGTTTCCCTTCTCCTGTAAGAAATACCAGGTGCTGTTTCTGCATCCTGAGGAAAGGAGTCTCATTTGGGAGAAGGAAAGGAAGTGTCTGGTAGGACACAGAGGTAAGAATTATTTCCCATTTATGAAGTAGAAATTTGTTTATAAGGAGAATGAATTATAGGGCTTTCCTGGAGCATACTCATCCACAGATCCCAAAGTCAGCAGTGTCCATGAAGAGATCCTAGCACAGTGAGATCTATCAAAGAGCCAGGAGTAATGCAGCTGGGCACAGAAAAGAACCTGATCTGCAATGGACCCATAAGGACACACCAGGCTTGAAAGTGAATTTATTATTTTTTCCAAGTATGTGATGAAGACATTTATTAGGGAGACCTCATTATGACATTTGTCTCCTGGGCTTTTCTGCCAGATGGAAAAGGGTGTGTATAATCTCTAACAGGAAATTAAAAAAAAAAAAAAAAAAGAGCTCCTTTCTGCCTACTAGCAAAGGCAGAACTTCCTGGAGGACAGTGATACAGAGGAGGAAAAGATGACACGTTGGTCTGCACTTGTGGTATTTACAAACCTCAATCCAAGTATGAAGGAACATAACTAGAAATAGAGAAAATGGTAATAATATATCAGGTATACATTTCACATATGTCCAGCCACAGTGATTCATCTGCTTCGTATTTTCTTGCTTCTTGTCAGATTTATTTACTGATAAATCAAAGAAATCCATCTAATTTTTCTGCATGCCATTTTTTCTTCTCTGTTTCAGTATGACATCTGCCTCAGGAGCAAGCTCATAGTTTTTTTTATTTTCTTTGGTGTGTCTTTCAAATGTTGCATAGCAAGTTACCTGTTATCATTAATTGTTTTCTGATGTTGCCTTTGTGAAGTGCAGTCTCTTTAATGAAGAACAGAAATACACTGGCCACTCTCCATCTGGTGTAAGATTCCACATTCTCCTTTTCTTACTCATAATGACCATGCAATTGAAGAGAGATTTATCTAAGAGACTCCCTTAGCAATTTATAATTAGTAAGCATCAAAGTTCAGATTCCCTATTAATTTCCATAGAAGTAGTATTGAGTCCTTTGAAATGGTCAGTAGCAATGATGACCCTCTGTGTATGAATAGAATACATAGTAACATGCAAATGTGTTTTTAAAATTGAATTTTTTTAAACTGAAATTTGAAATTATTCTTCTGGATTATTTTCCCAGTGTTGATCTCCTGCCTAGCAGCTTTTGATTCTGCATTCACTACCTCTCTTTACAGATCTTGAATAGCAAGGCCCATGTAAAAGGCAGGGATATCTCTTAAGTAGATGAATCTGGGGCATTCCCTTAACAGGATGCAAGGCATGGAGGGGAGCACAGATAGGAGGTGATTCAGCATCAGCAATTCAGTGCCAGCCAACACACAGAGCTCTGGGGCTGGATAAAGACAGACCAACCCTACTTTTGTTGGAAAGACTTAATAAGATCATTATCTGCCTAGTTACCTACATGAATTCATTAATGGAAGCAGATAATTTTTTAATAAGTTCTAAAATGCATCTCATCATGGAGATGATCCTTGAGATCCTCTTCCAACCTGGTATTATATGAACTTTTCCATATGCCAGACAGTTATTTGGGTTTTAAGGCTTTGTATTGCTTTTGAAAGCAATAAAATTGATAGTTTAAAACTAAGAGAAATTTCTTCAGGCCTTTTCTCGGGACACAAAGATCTCCAGAAACTTTCAAATTGTTCTTACAATAAAATAATCCAAAGTCCAAAAAAGCAGAGGTTTGTGGTTTGTTATATTGTTTTTGTGACTCTATTAAACTTAGCTTCAGGTTATGATTGATATATCACATAAAAACACTCTTTTATATAAACAATGATTAGTTCTGATAACACCATGACTGCAACAATACACAAGGAAATTAAACTAAAAGTAGGATTCATGCGAGAATTTAATTTAGTTTCTCCAAAGATATTACAAAAAGGTTTGAGAATGATTTTCAGCAAATTGCTGTGCAACACTGTGGTGGTCAGATTAGCTTCATTTCAGCATTACTGACCTGTTTTTCCTGCTCTGTGTATTTAATGAATGGACCTGGTTTGTGTACAGGGTGGCATTGAGGACCATGTCTGTCAACAGCCTGTCCAAAAATGAAGCCTTGACATGGACAAGAATGTGGTTCTTCCTAAAGCTGATGACATAAATGACAATCTTTTCAAGAGCTTTAACAGGCTTTGCTTCACACTGCCAAAACTGACATTTTGGTTGATCTTTTATTTTGGGGATAATGTTTTTGGTTTGCAGTGGGAAATTAGAAGGTAGCCATAATACAGTGTCTGAGAAACAGACCAGTATATACCAGTCATTAAATAAACACCCATGTGAAATCTTTTTAAAGAGAGAATCTTATAACTTTTCTTGATTCTCAAAGGAGAGATATTTCATAGCACATGAATCCTGATTGTGCATCAATACATTCTATTAACACTGTATTGTCAACAATGCAAAATAAACTGAACATTTAAACGTCCACACAAATCTCTGAGAAAGATTCTGGCTGGTTGGCTTGGAACATATAATACCAGCTGTGACTTCTGTGGAATGGCTGGCTGGCATTACAGTTTATTAAGAGAAATAAATAATTATATCTAAAGATAAGAAGAATTGACTCATATCGACTGGTACCTCAAGAGTTTCCATTCCATCTCTAACCCCAACCAGGAAACTCCAGCTCCTCAAATACTTTTCTACAAATTCGAGATTTTTCATTGATCTCAAATCTAAAATCTTCAGAAATTTTACAGTGGTACAGGAGAGAACGGCCAACACTTTAGGTAATGTTCATGGGGTTGTAAGAAGGGTACTACAGGAAAATAATTTCTGCCCAAGGAAAATAAAACAGTAATTAAAGGATTGCGTGCTGCTCAAAGTCTCCTTAACTCTTTTATCCAAATGATTTATTTTATACTCTGGAACAAGAAGCAATTATCAAATCAAGCCTGAGAGACAAATAATATTGACTAAGAGAATTAGGTCAGTAATTTGTATATCAGACCCAGCTGTGCTTGGCTTCCTGGAAAATCCAATTGATTCTTTGGCAGAGGAATATTGCTCCCTGTGTGTGGTGTGCTGCTTCCATGGATTTTACAGAAAGTGCAGAGAGTGCCTAGTTGGTACTCCACATTTGATTGTGACACTCAGAAATGAAGGCAAGAAATACTGCAAACTTCTATCTTTTACATGCATTGTATGAAACAGCACTTGAAAATAAAAAGAATGATTTGGCATCAGTTTTCTTTCAGATGCTCCACAAATCTTTACAGTTAAATCATTCTTCTGCTAAGTCTGAAATCAGTTTGTGGCTCAGGATGCTTGACAACTTTTCTGTGTGTAAAACTTTTATTGACTGCAGTGTGACTTTTTTGAAAAACGATGTTCTGAAGGTTCAAGGCCAAAAGCAGATACAAGAATTTGTCAGTTGCAGAATATTTTAACTACTCTGGCAAATAATTTTTTCCCGCATGCATACCTCTTCCTGTAGGATAAACTCATTCAGATTTATTTGTTAATTACATGTATAATGTATGGCAAGTTGTAGAAAATTTTTCTTTGTGACCGTTAAGAGTAGTCTCAGCAGGGGGAATTATACTGGCTGCAGAGATGGAATAGTGACCTGCTCTGTAAAGTACTTTGAGCACAGCAGATGCAAAAAGTACCATACATCATGGAAGTAATTTGAAACTCTCAAGTATTGAAGAGGACATTTGCTTTCTTCTGAACCTAAGAAGTGCCAATTTTACTAGTTTAGAAGCAAACATTTTGCAATATGATCTTACTAAGCTAGAACCAATCATACTTACATATACATGCTCTGTGGCCAGTAAAATTGATTCAATATGCAAGTACAAATGAATTTCCTTTTAAACTAATAGAATAGTCATTTCAGTATGGCCAAATCTGTTTAACTAAATGTAAAGAACAAAGAATGCTCTTTAATAGTTAGAATTTGTATGTAAAAGCTAATTTAAATAAAATAATTAATAAGCACTTTAAAACAAATAATGACTGAGTCAGCTGTTGTGACAAGCAATAAGATCAAAGTGAGGATTAACAGAAAGATTGCTTTAGCTAAAGGATATTTCTCAGTGCTTTCACAGTAGGTGATTTTTAAAAAAAAACATTTATCACAAGACCAATTCCTCCTGTTATTTCCCACAGCAGTGCAAGATCAATTTGTAAAATCTTATTATACTGTACCTTAATCAAATTGTGTCCTACTGAGTAGACAGTTCTTATTTTCCCTCTCTCTCCTGGAGCATGAATACCTGTGCCATATCCATGCCAAGCAATTAAATACGGATTGTGGATTGTAATCCAATACTTAACACGGTCCCCAAAGGTCTGGAAGCAAAACGTGGCATAGTCATTGAAGATATCAATCATGGATTCATTTTTCCATCCCCCGTATTTTTCTTGTAGCATCAAGGGCAGGTCCCAGTGGTACAGTGTAATCACAGGGTCAATATTTCTGTGTAGTAAAGAGTCAATAAGGGTGTTATAATACTGAAGTCCTTTTTCATTGGGAGCTGCCACCACTCCAGTGGGGAAAAGCCTTGACCATGAAATTGAAAACTGATAAAAAGTAACTCCCAAAAAATCCAGAGCAGACAAATCTTTGTCCAACAAGATGTAACTGTCACTGGAGGTGCCTGTGCTGTCAGCATCCCTGAACTCCGAGTGGGTGAAGTGGTCCCAGATGGAGGAGCCTTTCCCGTCCTTCCTCCAGCTGCCTTCCACCTGGAAAGCTCCTGTCCCTACACCCCAGAGAAACTCTTTGGGGAACGTGTCATATAAAAACATCTGTGTTTCACTCACGGGGCTGAAGTGGGAGTCCTTTTTCCACACAGATCTTCCCTCTCCAGCAAACCCAGTAACTATCCTTATGAAAAATAATGTCCAAAAAGCAACAATCTTCTCCAGTCGTTGGCCAAGCATTATGCCAGTTTATAGTGGCAGTGTTAAAAATCAGATTTCTTGTGCTGATGCAGAAAAAATTCCATTCTTTTGCTGGAGTCCACGCCGTGCAGACTGTCTTCATTTGCCACAAGCTGCTGGAGTGACTTATCAAAGCTTCACTAAAAGCTTGTGATTGTAAAAGCCCTGTCAATGATTAGCCTGAACTGTGAGATGTAGAGCGGGTCAGAGAACGGTGTAATTTATAGGGAGGTGGCCTCTGTATGACCACTGAGACACCTACCTGGCTTCTTACTGCAGGCTGCCTGAACAACAGAAATGCTAGGAACTAATTTGTCATCATTTAAAGGTCAGTCATTCAGGTGGGATAATATAGATGACAGAGGGTCTAAGAAGCCATCACATCCTTTATTTCTTGTGGAGCTGTATTTCGAGGAAGCATTAATTCAATTCACACTACATAATCACCAATTTAAAGGAGATGTATCTTATCTGTGTAATTGGATGGCTGGAAGGCTAGTGCATCATTTCTCAGTCCTACCCTGCTCAACCAACCTACTTCTCCTGAAAAACTCTTCCTGGACTGGTGGGAAATTTTGTTGTGAACAAGAGATATACACACATCCAACTAACTATATAAAATCACAAAGCAAGTCAATATTTCTTTCAAACACATGCAACCATTTTTCTATCCTATATAAAAGTCTCCTATACAGCACTACACACAGCAGCAGTACAAAATCGAAAGGGGACTATTCCAGTTCTTACACAGTTTTCCTAGATTTCTTCAAATAAACACAATTAGCAAAGATAATTAGCCCTGGAAGATGCTATTTCAGTATTGACTAATTTAATAATTCATATATGCAGCTGGAGCATCAGTACAGAAAATATTTATAGAGCAATTTTGGAATATAATTTAATCTTTTAACACATTTAGCAACAGTATATATGTTGAGATATAGTCAATTTACTCAATATAGAAAGACTGATATCTGCCATTTTTGTTTTTCTTGAGGTACAGTAATATAAAGTCTGTCCATATAGTAATAGAAACTGAGCACAGCTCCAGAAGAGCCTTGAGGAACAACATAGAAATATGAAGTAATTTTGCATGCAAGAAAGATACACACTGGAATCTGAACATGGGAACAATAAATCACCAGAGCAGAGCACTCTGCTTAGATGAATTAGCCCTGCTGCCATGTAGGACATGAAAGTCCAGATGCACTGCTGGGCTTCTGCTGCTTTACTGCTCCTGCTGCCTGTGAGAGCATGCTCGCAGCACTGCAGAATACCACTGACATATACCTTTAATTTATCAGTAAAGCTGATTAACTAATACAAATGGAAGCCAGTTTATTTATTTTTAGGATAAACAACAAAACGTCCGTGTTTGTAAGCATTTCTCTGCAGAGCTTTTACAAGAAACATATTCACCACAGATGAAGATAAAAGCTCCCACTGACATCTTCTGCACTCCAGGTCCCTGGTGGTGGGGTAGCCACACATCTAACATGAGCTTCTCTTACCTGAAGTAATTGACCTGCATTTCTCAGCCAAGATCCTACCACACACAGGCAGCTTGGGAACAAGAGGAGCAGGCAGGGACTATACAAAGTTGGTTCACAGTACTGACTGACATGTTCCTTTTTTGTTCTATGGAACAGCATTTAAAATGCTGTTTGATAGTTATTGCATCAACATCATCTTTCTATTTTGACATTTAAAAGCATTGATTTTATGTATGCTACTTCATGAAAGAAAACCCAAGTACAAGTTGTTGTCAATGCCACTACACTTCTAAAGCAGCTAGTCACCATCATTGAGAGATGCTCAAGTTCCAAGTACCCACAACCACTTTGTAACCCCATGGGCAATCTGTGGGCAAGGGAAAGGCAACAGGCTTCTCCTCACTAAATACAGCAGTGTTAGTACCACTGGCACGTGGATGCAGACAGTGTGTTGCACCTGCCTGAGATGTGTAAGGTGCTCTCAGATGCTTGGTCTGTATAAGGTTATGAACTGTGCTTCTTTCCTTATTATTGACATGACTGGGAGCATGCTATAATCATGGTTTGAAAGTGTTTCAATGATTCAAGCCTCTGTGAATCCAGTTTCTTACTACTTGGTCATATTTAACTGTTTGAGCTGTAATTTCACTTCATGAAATTAAAAGGGAAGCAGTTTAACTGATGAGAATCATATAGTGACTTGAATTTGGAAGGAAGATTTCATTATCTGAGCAAAGACTTGGGGAAAGGAAATACTGTGACTGTTAATTTGGAAGGCAAACAGCACAGAAGAGTGAGATGTGATCAGGGGCTATTGGGAAGTGAGGGTGTGAAAGGAGGGGAAGAGAATTAATGATTTCACTGGCTCAAATGGCAGAGTCAGGACAGGCTCCAACTCTGATGCTATATGAGGACACCATACAGTATGATGCTTCACAGTGGGATATCCTGCCTCTGATCAATCTGTTTTCAGAATGAATCAAGACTGGGAGAAGCAGGGCACTTGCTGATACATATTCAGTAGTTAGGACACCTAATGATTGTTCAGTTCAATTCTTATTTATCAGTTTTCCTTTTCTTCTTTGCCTTTGCCAAGGCATGTGACTAAAATGAAGAAAACAATTTTTCACTTGACTCTTGAATACGTACTCTCCTTGTTTTGGGAGTTTGGCTTGAAAATCTGGGGTTTGATCTACAGAAATGCTGAACACATTAGTTGAAAGGATAGAATATCTGAGTTGACATATTCATTCTGCCTAGATATGTAAATGAAGAAAAAGACCTAAAGACAAAGTTCACTCAGAAGAAGTGTAATGTTTACATTAACATCAGCTGCTCAGATCTTCTAGTGTTAGGTGCTCAAAGAAGCAACTTATGTAATTGTCCCCAACAGCGTCATGCAAATCCCTTATCTTTACCTTATACAGCAGAAACTGTTTGAGATAGGATCAAGTCTTTTCTAAAGACACATAATTGTGATGGATACTATAGAAAGCCTAATGTAAATAGAAACTACACTACAGCTTTAGGAAGAATTTTTGGAATTTTTCATCTGCAACAAAATGCTAATTTCTGCTTCTACAATGCCAGAAAAATTTTATTTTCTTTACTGGAGAGTCTAGTAAGAAAAATATTCCTTAAGGGATTCTTCCAAAATAGACTACAGTCTATTAAATAAGTATTTTAATGCCCAATATTACTGCAAAAAATTAGAATTTAACCTGAAATTTCACTTTAAAAGTTGGTTTCAATTCCAAAAAAGTATCAACATAGCAATATACAAAAATGTGAAAATAAAATAAACAGGATATTAACGAAAAACCAGACTTTTTATTTCTCAATATAAGAAAATGAAATTTTCTTATTAAAAACCTCCCCTCTCAATAAGCAAGACAAAGCCTTCACTAACAATATTAACAGCAGGACTGGGCTTATTACATAGGGGAAAAACCTCAAGTTCAAGATTTAATATCTCAGTTTTTAAAATGTATTTTGGAAGAAAAAGTCAACATAAAAAGCCGAATAGTCTGTGAGTTTCAGAAAGGTAGAAAACAATACTAATTTTGTAAAAATTATTTGTCACAGTTGTAAATAGAGTGGTGAAATCAAACGTACTTTAGCTACTTTTAAAAAAGCTGTAATTTTAGTTGGGTCATAGGACTTGAAAACAAGACCTATGATCAATAATAGTCTCAGAAAGGATTTCGCCTTAATTTTATTTTGCAAAGCACATCATATTACAATGAATATTCAGTTTTCTTTCCTGTAGTGGAACAAGGGTTTTCCCCCTTCCACTGGTTCCATGGGCATGTACATAGGAACAGAGGTATCCTGAGTCTCCCCACCAAACCCAGAAGTGAATTGGAGGCATTCCAGGTGTTCAGTCTGATGTCTCCATAAAGGGTTAAACTCTTGCCTTCCAAGAAACATGATGTCACAAACGCACAGACAGGTACTCCTCTGCTACTCTAGGTAGCTTTATCAACTACAAACAGAGATAACCACCTGCAATAACTCTTTTAGCTTTATTTGAACAGTTTGGCTCTTAAAAATGTCAGCCATTTTAACTGATCTTTAGCTCTGGTATCGGGAATACGCACAGCTTTCAAAGTTACATAATGAGAATTAAATATGTAAATACAAACATCGCTGGAGATGTTTTTCTAAAGCAGTATCACTTTTGTTTGCATAGCCATTATGTTGAGTGCATATGGAATAACTTGGCAAAACAGGCCAAAAAGGACAGGCTGTGCTGTGGTTCTGTGTTTACTTGCTCGCTGTGTTCTTTATGCAGAAACCCAAATTCAAAAGCTATACTAATGCTGAAAATACACGGGCCCATATAATCATGTGTGTTCATAAAAGAACAGTTTCTATACAAACAGGATCTTACAATTACTTAAAGTCCAATTTCAAGAATAAAGCAGGAATGGTAATAGGTAACATTAAGAGCTATCTGGGATGAGACCAAGTAGACAGTGAACACAGAGGGAACACAAGTGACAGCATTAGGGATTGCAGTATGAGACAAGTACAAATTGAGCTTGGACTCCAGTTGTTTTTGTTTGATGAAGGATGTCCTAAATCACTGGCAGTATTTGTAAAGTCACAAATTCAGTTTGTCTTTCCCGTTCTTCTCCAAGTCCAACAATAATTAGCAATTCAGTAAGTTGACAGAACCTAGACATCAGACAGTATTTGAGTGGAGTCGTTTTTATTTGGCCTGACCAAGTTTATTCCCTTTCAGCGTTCAGCAAGTGTGTTCAGAGGAAAAAAAATATAGAAGATTTAATTAGAAATTAATTAGAAAAGTAAGGCAGTCAGTAACAGAAGACACAGCGTTAATTGATTCCCCGGTTTCTCTTGCACTCCAAGCTCTCCCCAGCCTTAGTGCATGGGAGGAAACACCATTAGATGAACAAGAGCTCCGACAGCGCGGGAGGAGGGACTATCACAAGTTTAGAACCAGGATACGCCTTTCAGTGCCGCGCTGGCCCGGGCCTGCCTGCCCGCCTATTTTGGGTGCTGTATTTGCCAAAGTGCTCTATAAAGAGATGGAAGTCACGGAGGCCTGGCGCTGCTTTCCTGTCTGTTTTCACCCAGCGGTCCAGCCTGCCGGGGGTGCCCGAGCCCGCGCGGCTCCATTTGGAGCTGCTGCTGCAGCGCTCCGGTTCCCGCCGGGGCAGCGCCCGAGGCCGCGGGAGCGGTTCAACCCCCGCCGCACGGAGGGGCGGCCGCCACCCGCACACCAGCGGGCACGGGGACACAGCGACGGGGCCGGGAGC